AGACAGGTAACTTTAAGTGGCACATCAGCTAAAAATAATTCCTTTCTTTCAGCATCATTAACAATAACATCGTGCTATTTTTGTATGCGACTACAGCTTTCACACACGTGATTTCTCGTTTAGTTTTTAACAACCTATGAATAGAGAAGCTGGGTTCTGTTATTCGTCCAGACTTTGCAGAGGGGAAAGCTGAAGCTTTAATGTGCTCAAGGTTGCATGCCTCTCAGAAGGCAAAGCTGCCTCTGGTGCCCTCTCCTTGCATCTCCAGGCCCACTGTGGTCCAGCGGTAGTCTTGGGTACCACTATGGGATCCCCAGACGGATAACCACATGTGCCGCTGCTTTGTACCTTAAGACCCAAAGCATAGGGCCGGTGATGGCTTGTGTCTGAGGGAGGAGTCCCTAGCTGCTCACTCTCCTCCCTCATAGTAGGTACCATTCGACCAAATATGTAAAATTGGGGATGAGGGATGGTTCAGCAGTCAAGAGCACTTGTTCCTCTTGCAGAGGACCTGGGTTCACTTCCCAGCACCTCCATGGCGGCCAACTCCAGGGATCCTCTTCTTAACTGCCTGGCCACCAGGTACACACCCATGCAGGCAGAACATACACACTTTACTTTGTTTTGTTTTGTTTTGTTTTGTTTTCGAGACAGAGTTTCTTTGTGGCTTTGGGGGCTGTCCTGGAATTAACTCTTGTAGACCCGAGTGCTGGGATTAAAGGCGTGTGCCACCACCACCTGGAAAATACACACATTTTGAGGACTCCGCGCTGGTGGCGCATACCTTTAATCCCAGCACTGGGGAGGCAGAGGCAGGCGGATCTCTGTGAGTTTGAGACCAGCCTGGTCTACAAGAGCTAGTTCCAGGACAGCCTCCAAAACAATACAGAGAAACCCTGTCTCGAAAAACAAACAAACAAAAAAAACCCATACACATTCTAACCCAGAAGCTAGATCTAGTTGGTGGCCTTGTTTCCCAAGCAGAGATGTAAGGAGATTTATAGACATTCAAACACACTGAGCATAGTTGTCATAATACCGACGGCTGCAATACCCTACTGCCTGCCGAAGTCATGTCTGATCAATTCGTCCAGTCCTATAGGTGTGCACTTCCTGTTCAGAGATCCCAGAACAGCCAGCAGACACACTCAGCGTGGGGACCCCTGGGCCTGGCTGGGACATGAAAATACAGAGTTCAAATCAGGAAGGGTTCTGGTTTTGGAGATCCTGACTAAGTTTGGACAGAGCACTGGTCTGGGCCTCCAGCGTGCCCAGCCACACCTCAGTCCTCATCTTACCCAACAGGTCATGTCCTGTTTCTTCATTGTCTCAATACCCAAGAACCAGCTCACCCATGAGGGCATGAGGCAACAGCCAGAACGTGCTGGAATGTAGCCAGAGTTGTTCCGGCGGTGCTCACCCCACAGCACGGAATGAATACCTACTGTGTGCAAGGTAAGGTGGGTGGCCACAGAGCACGGGTGGCAGGTAAAGTCCACCTTCTGGGCACCTGGGATGAGAACCGGAGGCGGAAGCTCCCTCAGGAACAGTGAGCAACGCCAAGTCAAAGTTGAAAGGTCAGAAGGGCATCGTCAACGAGAAAGGACAGTGTGGGGCAATGTGACAGACCAGGAAATGGCGGTGTGACACCAGCCAGGCATGTGACAGTTGTGAATGGAACAGAGATGAGCAAACCGTGAATCTGAGAGGAGGAAAGACGCCACACCAGAGACAGACAGCTTCAGATTCCTTGCCGGGTTCTGCCTTCACACACTTCCTTTGAGGATAACATCTCATGGATAACTCAGTTTAACGCGTTGTGTAAGTCAACACCCAGCCACACTTAACCTTACTATGTAGCCCAGGCACGTTGGAGCCTCTCAGACCCCCTGCCTCAGTCGGGGCAGGGATTACAGGTACTCTGGGCAAGAAAGGACCTTTTGAGTAAATTGATCAGAATCTCTCAGTTGTCTGCTACCCAAGATATATAGGTAACAGTGCTGAGGTAGCCCACACCTGTAATCCCAGCACTGGGAGGGTAGAGACAAGGACATCGGGGATGTGAGGTCATTCTTGTCCACACAGCAAATGTGAGGCCGAGGAAAACACACACTCACAGATCAGCTCCTGAGTGGAAATCCAAGGGGAAGGGGCCCAGGAGACAACTCTGTGCTGAGCAGCACTGGCTGCTCTCCTGGGGGACCCAGGTTTGATTTCCAGCATCCGTGGCCACTTTCTACAACTTTGGTTCCAGGGCGTCTGTCACCCTCTTCTGGCTTCTGCAGGCACCAGGCATACACACAGTGCATAGACAGCACACATGCAGACAAAACACCCATACACAGAAAATAAAAATAAGGCCGGGCGTTGGTGGCGCACGCCTTTAATCCCAGCACTCGGGAGGCAGAGGCAGGCAGTTCTCTGTGAGTTCGAGGCCAGGCTGGACCCACAGCCTCCAAAACAGAGAAACCCTGTCTCATAAAACCAAAAAAAAAAAAAAGAAAGAAAGAAAGAAAGAAAGAAAAAAAAGAAAGTGGACAGAAAATAAAAATAAGTAAATCTTAAGAAAAAGAAACCCAGGAGGAGGGCTGCAAACTGGCTCCCTTTGTAGTGAAAGATTCGAGGGAAATCTACTGGGTTTACTTGTCTTTTCTTCTTCCTGAAATAGGGTTTCCAGTTTTTCAGGGTGTTCTCAAGCTTCTGAGCCCCAGAGAAGGAGGGCCTCAGAGGTAGAGGCACACACAGGCAATTACAGCTGGCTTTAGGACTGTCTGTCTGTGTATCTATAAATAGACTAACAGTCCCCATCGTACTCGGCTACAACAAGGACAGAGTGGCATATGTGCCCAAAACCCTCACAACCGCCCCGGGCAGAGTAAATGCTGTCTGTCACTAAATTATTGCTTAGGTGCTGGGGGTCAAACCCAGGGCTTTGATGGGGACATGCTAAGCCCCGCCACTCAGCTTGGCCACTGAGTGTACCCCAAGGGTGTGCTGCTTTTATTTTTATTTATTTTATTTATTTTGGGGGAGGTTTCTCCAGACAGGGTTTCTCTGTGGCTTTGGAGGCTGTCCTGAACTAGCTCTTGTAGACCAGGCTGGTCTTGAACTCATAGAGATCTGCCTGCCTCTGCCTCCCGAGTGCTGGGATTAAAGGTGTGCCCCTCGACAGCCCGGCCTGTTTTTAAGATGTATTTTTATATTATGTATGAGTGTTTGCCTGGATGTATGTAAGTTCACTATATGGTGTCGTGCCCAGGGAGGTCAGAAGAGGGCGTGAGATCTCCTGCCCCTGGGGTTGTAGACAGTTGTGACCACCATGTGGGACTGACCCTGGATTCGGGCAAGAGTAGCCAGGGCTCTTAACGGTCGAGCTGTCTCTGAAACTCATTATCAGACCAGTATGCTCTGGGTTTTTAAAAATCATTATTTCCAGGGCTGGAGAGATGGTTCAGTGGTTAAGAGCACTGGCTGCTCTTCTAGAGGACGCAGGGTCAGTTCCCAGCCGGGCAGTCGAGGGGCACACCTTTAATCCCAGCACTCGGGAGGCAGAAGACTATGTCCACAAAAAATAAATAAATAAATTATTTTTCTTAACCAGGTGGTAGTGGCACACATCTTTAATTCCAGCCCTCTGGAGGCAGAGGCAGGAGGATCTCTATGAGTTTGAGGCCAGCCTCGTCCACAGAGTGAGTTCCAGGACACAGAGTGAGTTCCAGGACAGTCAGGGCTACACACAGAGAATGCTGTCTCAATGGGTTTCTTCATTTCTTCGTCTTCAGATTTATTTTCTTTTTAATTGTGTTGTAGTGTGTGTCTGTGTGCGCATGTGGGTTTGTGCACGTGTGAGTATAGGTACCCTCAGCGTCCAGAAGAGGGCGCTGGATTCCTTAAAGTTCCAGGAGACTGTGAGCTGCCTGACGTGGGAGCTGCCAATTGAGCTCAGGTCCTCTGCAAGAGCAGTATTGTACTCTTCTTCTTCTGCTTTTTTTTGGGGGGGGGACAGGGGTGGTGGGGGTGGTGGGAGGGTGCTTTGAGACAGCATTTCTCTGTGTAGCCCTGGTTGTCCTGGAACTCACTCTGTAAATAAGCCTGATATCAAACTCAGAAATCTACCTGCCTTTGCCTCCTAAATCTTGGGACAAAAGGTGTGTAAGGGGTGGGGTCTGGAAAGCACACATACACACTGCACACATATACACTGCACACACATACACACTGCACACATACACACATACACACACACATACACACTGCACACATACACACTGCACACACACACTGCACACATACACATACCACACACATACACACACCACACACATGCACACATACACACTCACACATACACACACTCACACACATACACATATACACACACATACACACACCACAAGCATATACACACACATACACCACATACATATACACATGCACACACATTACACTCACACTCACACACACACACACTCACCATCTGTAGTAGAATTTTGGATGACTTCATGACTGACAGCCATGTCACACCCAGGAGGCAGCATTTCACCGCACCGCTCCCCGTCTCCTGCTTGTACTCACCTCCTGCTTGGAGGGTCGGCTTAGTAAAGATGATCCAAGCAGTGCTGAGCCCCACTCAGTCTCCTGCCCTCAGCACCTTGACCAGGTATGATCTCTGCGCTGACATCGGCCCACTGCAGCTGATCCTCTGAGGAAGGCCAAGATCAACCCAAGTCTGCATGCGAACATACAACTCCAGAGGGCAACTGACAGCGTGGCCATTCAGCAGAATGATAAGAGCAGGCTCCACAGCAGGGCCTCCTGGCTGCATGGGTTTCCCACCAGGACACTGTTATTTACCTGCCGCTGCACCTGTAGGCAGAGCTGACCTGCATGTTGATATTGTGACATCCGGAGCATGCATGCGGCACTGGGCCCACTGATGCCGTCTCTGCCCTAGAAGCCTGCGAGGCACTCTCTGAAAGCCAGCAGCAAAGAGGGCTTCTGTGCTCACTTCGGCAACACATATAGTAGAATTGGAACAATACAGGGAAGATTAGCATGGCCCCTGTGCATGAATGACCGGTAAGTTCCTGAAGCATTCCATATTTTTGAAGAATAAAAAAAGAGAGAGGATGTTCTGTTTTGAACACAAAGTCTGATCTGCTTTTGTTGTCTGTTTGGGCCTTATGGTATAGGATAGCCTTAGTTAGCCTGGTTATGTTATATTTGGATCTTCCTGACTCCAGTTTCCAAGTGCTGGGATTACAAGCACCGGACCACGCCCAGCTTGGTCAGCCCTCTTTGTCTTCCACTTTCCCCTTCCCCAGAGATGCTTTTGAGTGAACATATACTTCTTACATAATTTCCTTAGCTTGTTCTTTAAAAACAGGGTCTCATCGCTAACCCAGGATGGCCTGGAACTCACAGTGTAGCCTAAACTGGTCTTGGAGTAACCCTCTTTCTTCCAACTAACAAATACTGAGATAGTAGGCATGAACACTAGGCCCAGATCTTTTCTGTTTTCTTTTTTTGGTTTTTGGAGACAGGGTTCCTCTGTGTAACAGCTCTGGCTGTCCTGGAACTTGCTTTGTAGACCAGGCTGACCTCGTACTAATAGAAATCTACCTGGCTTTGCCTCCTGAATGCTGGGATTAAAGGAGTGCGCCATTTAGCCCCAGCCCTTATATAATCTTTCTAAAAAAAAGAAAAGAAAAGAAAAGAAAGAACCTTTCAAGATGGGATCCACAAGTTTAATCTTAGCTTCATCAGTTCCTGAGGCATTGGAAAGTTCCCTAGACCACCAAGTCCAGGGAGATGACAGCTGTGGATCTCTTTGGTGCTCGGCTATCTCCTAATGGAAAGGACTATTTGTGACCTTCAGCTCTGGCAGCTACAAATGTCAAAGGCAGACCTTCTCTCCAGCAGCGCCCCTTCAGGTGGCAAAGCCTGCCTGCCTGTCCTGCAGTTGGTGTCCTCACAGGTAAGGGGCTGGGACAGCCAGGGTCCCCACTGAAAGTGCCTGACCTCAAACCCTTTCCCCACGCTGCACCCTGAGGGGAGGCAGACCTTTGATCCTCCGCCCTTGCGCTCCAGCCCGGGCTAAGGGGCTTTCCCAGAGAAGAGAGCTCTATAAATACACCTCTAGGTCAGGACTCTGTGTCCACAGCCGTCTAGAGAGACCACGCCTCCAGAGAGAGCATTAACTGTTGTCTTCAGGAAGGGATTGGAGCAAGGTTAAGGAAAGGCCCCTCCCCCAGTGGAGGCTGTTGTCATATTTGTGATAGCTTTGTGAGTTTTTTGTTTTGTTTTTGGTAGTTTGCTTTTGGGTATTATTTCGTGGGTTTTGTTTTGTTTTCCAAGAAAGGGTTTCTCTGTGTGGCCCTAGCCATCCTGGAACTTGCTTTGTAGACCAGGCTGGCCTCGAACTCACGGTAACCTACCTGCCTTTGCCTTTGCCTCCAATTTCTGGGATTAAAGGTGTGCCCCATCACCATCCAACACACGTTATGTTTTTAAAGTATGTTTTGGGTGTTTTTAGTGACTTGTCAAAAATTCTAAATTAGAGTATTTTATAACTCAAAAAAATTAGGGTAGGGGACTTGGCTAGGGAAACAGCTACAGCTACAAGCATTGATTCACATGTGTGTGCCCATGAAGGCCTGAAGAGGGTGTGAGATCTCTTGGAATTGGAATTACAGGTAATTGTGAGTTTCATGATCTGGGAGTTGGGAACTGAACTCAGGTCCTCTGCAGAGCAACAAGCACACTTTTTATTTTTTCTTTTCTTTTTTTGTTTATTTTGACAGAGGATTTCCTCTGTGTAACAGCTCTGGCTGTCCTGGAACTCACTCTGTAGACCAGGCTGGCCTCGAGCTCACAGAGATCCACCTGCCTCTGCCTCCCAAGTGCTGGGATTAAAGGCATGCGCCACTATGCCAGCTCATAAAAGCAAGTCTTTAAAAAATGAAGTAGAACAAAGGTGTGTCCTGCAATAGCAGCTATTTTAAATTATGTTTACACGTGTGTGGGGAGGGCTTTTGCACATGAATGCAGGGCCTGCAGGAGTGGTCAGATTCCTTGGAACAAGGTTGCGAGGCCCTAGACTTGAGTGCTAGGAACAGAACTGGGTCCTCTGCCAGAGCAAGAAGTGCTTTTAACCATGAGCCACGGTCCCCGCTCCCAAGGCAAATGGCAGTATTCTCTCCCTTCCTGCTTCCCTTTTCCTCCCCATCCTGTTCCCTGTTCTCTTTTAAAGCCAAGCTTTCTGTCTCCCATCTCATTTTAAAAAGCATTTTTAGTGTGTGTAAGAGTTTCACCAATGCATATGCCTGGTGCCCCGGGAGGCCACAGGAGGGCACTGGATCTCTGGAACATTTGTGAGCCACCTTGTGGGTGCTGGGAACGGAACCAGCCTCCTTGCAAGTACTCCAAACCTCACTGTCCTCTCTTGGGACTCTTTCTCCAGGGTGGCCTTGAACCCACAATCCTCCTGTAGGCCCCAGCCTCCTTAATGCTAGGATCACACTTATTGCCACCAACTCATATATTTCTTGTAACTTTCCAAACCACATGAAAAACAAAACTGTGTGAGCAGCACTTGTCCTGAAAGAATGTAGGGATTTGTTGAGAAAACAAAATATGCATACTAAATTTAAAATAAGTTTAAAAATCCTGGCTTATCCCAATACTGTATCCCAGACTCAGCTAACTGAAGCAGAGGAGTTCCAGTTTGGGGTTAGCATGGGCTGCACAGTGAGTTTCCATCAACCTGTCCTCTTGTCACCACAGGGCCTGTCTCTATAACAAACAGTAGCATCCTGCCTTCTTCAGGGCTGGGAATGGAAACTGGGCTTCCTGTGTGGAGAGCTCACTGAGTCACATCCCCAGCCCCAAGACTGTTTTATAGACACCCCCATCATCTTTGAGATAGCTCCTGCTTCCACAGAGCCGCATGTTTCAGTGCTCACTGGCAGGTCTGCGCTATCTAGACTGAGCACCTTCCGGATGGAGATTAACTTCTATGCCCTCAGCAGGAGCTGTCCAAGAAGTGTCAGGCGGGGCACCAAGGGCCTCTGCTGTTTTGTGGGGTCACAAGACATGATACTAAAGCGTCTATATTTGCCTATTTTGACATTTTAGTTGTGAACCTGGCCTTTAATGACAGCCATCTTTAACCTTGTTTGGGTGCTTTTATTTTGTTTTATTTATTTTTTTTAGATTTTTCAAGACAGGGTTTCTCTGTGTAACAGTGTTGGCTGTCTTGGAACTTATTCTGTAGACCAGGTTGGCCTCGAACTTACAAAGATCCACCTGCCTCTATGTCCCGAGTGCTAGGATCAAAGGCATGCACCACCACTGCTCAGCTAAATAGTTTTTTTAATTTACACACACACACACACACACACACACACACACACACACACACACACACGCACCACATGAGTGCTTGTGAAGGAGAAGATGTTGGGTCCTCCCGGACCTGAAGTTACAGGCAGTTGTGAGTCACTCAGGATGAGTGCTGGGAATCAGAGCCGGGTCCTCTGTTAGAGCAGAAGAGTCGCAGTCTCGGCAGCTCCAACCACATCACCACCCACCAACCATCTTAGCAGCCCAGGTGTTTTTATTGTTGAGCCTGGGATGGTCCTGCTCTGTCACCCAGTCTACCCCAGAATTTGCTGAGTTTCCTAAGCTGGTCTTAAACTTGCAGTGGTCCTCCTGCACCCCAACAACTGAGATTAGAAGCGTGCACTACCATGCCCTATTTGTTTTCAAAGAATTCACAAGGTAGGACAGGTATGGTGGCGTTTGACTTTAATCCCAATACTTCCAGAAGCAGAGGTAGGTGAATCTCTACATAGTGAGGTGCAGGCCAGTCAGGACTTGATAGTAGGACCCTGCCTCAAAAATAAACAACCAAGCCAGGCTGTGGTGGCAACGCCTTTGATCCCAGCACTCGGGAGGCAGAGGCCAGCCTGGTCTACAAAGTGAGTTCCAGGACAGTCAGACCTGTTACACAGAGAACCCTTGTCTTGAAAAACCAAAACGAATAACAACAACAACAAAAAAAGGTAAATAAATAAATGTCTACCTACAAAAAGGCGTACAAGCAGAATATAAATTGAATGACAACCTAAAATCCTTTTTCATCCTTTCTACACTCGGGCACCCCTTTTGAGTCCACATGAAGATGGACAGACATTCCCGAGCCTAATATACACACCAAAGTCTCCCACTCTACAGACGACACTGCAGTTGAAATGCTTGTGAATGACCACAGAGCTGGCAAGCGCTTGAGCTGAAATTCAAATCCAAATTTGTCTGACTCATAATTCAACGTGCATTCCTTCCGCTAAGCTCCGGGGTGTAAAATTTTATGGATGAAGAAACCGAGGCTCACAGACGTCCTCTGCCATCAGAGCCACACGGTTCACCGCCCAGCATGGGAAAAGTGGAGGAGATGGCATGGGCTGCGTGGAGAAGAGGGCCTCGCTTGGCTTTGGTGGATCTGAGCTTGAGAAGGGCCGCATGGGTCCAGTTTGTCAATCCCCCTTCTCTGGGCTTGCGGCTTGCCCGTGTTCTTCGGGTACATGTTCCACCCGAAGGCTGATCTGCCAGGGTCGGTGGGGTCCCAACCCCGGGGGTGGGGGCGGAAACGGTGCCCGCAGGGCCTCAAGCCGTCGGGGGCGTCCGAGGTGGGTGGCTGCGGCGGGCGCGTGGCGGGCGGGGCGCGGGCGGCACGGGGAGGAGCCTGCCGCGGGCGGCGCTGTCCCGGGGCTCCCGGCCCTGGTGGCCGCCGAGGAGGGCAGCTGGAGAGAGCGGGCGCAGAGAAGGTAGAGCCTCCCCGACCCCCGCCAGGGCTCTGATGGTCACCGAACAGCGGACCCTGGGCCGAATTCCTGGGGAGGGGGTCTGGTCCCATCACCCGGGTGAGGGCTTGAGCCAAGATTCCTATTAAGTCACATAGTGAAGTTGGAAAACATACTGGACCTCCCTGCAGCCCGCGCCACCCGCTCCTCCCCGAGGGGCTTCGGGAGGATGCGCCCCGACGCCTGCACTCCGGGAACGCAGGGATAGGGTGCCCGGGAGGGATGTAGGTGGGACTCCTCGCAC